CAGTTCACCGGGTTCAATTTTGGACCCGGAATGGGTACCAGAACAGGTGTAAACGGGTCGGATGGGTTTAACATACGGGCTTTACTTCAATTCTTGCCAGTTATCATCATTCTGATTTTCAGCTTCTTGCCTTCTAACGAACCTGTTTATTCTCTTCAAAGAACATATACCTATGATTATCGTTTGACTACACAAAAAGGGGTTAGTTACTTTGTGAAATCACGCAACTTTGAGCAAAAGTATCCATCAAATAGTCATGAAAGGGTTCAGCTTGAAGGAAGGATTGATCATGAGTACGTGTCGATTCTTTCTTATAATTGTAGATTGGAGGCACAAAGGCTTCATTGGGGTTATCAACGTGAAACGCCTAATTGCGACTTGTTGAGGCAGTTTGATCCTACTTTGGTGGATTCACATTGAAGGTCCGGTTGCTTCTTTTTTTTTTTTTTTTAATACTTCTATGGTAATTATTATTATCATTATATGGTTATTGAAAATAATGTTGCATTGGTATTTACTATCAACAAGTGTACTTGTAACATTCATAAAAGATGATGATTTGTGTATTTTTTGTAATAGCTTTAAAGATTTGGAAAGCTTGGTGCTTTATATGGAAAACACATTTTTAGATTTTGGTTTTTTTTTCTTCTTTTGCAGATTGTAATTCAAAAAAAATCTTGAAGCTCTGAGAATATGCAAGTTGATTTGCATTTTTTGCAGCAAAGTTGTAAAAGCAGCATCAGACACAGATAGATTATTTAGCTGAAACTTTTATATATTTTTTTGAAGTCTGAAATTAATTTGTTACTCGATTATTTTGATTTGACATTGGAGTATTTGTTTTATAAATTGCCATATTTTTCTTATTTGTGTGCTTGTTTGAAAGTTGGAGTGACCTTATGTCCGATTGAGTTGTGTTACTTTCATCGCAATTGAGTTAAGAGTGATGCACGTGTTGGACTTTCTTCAATGAAAAGAGGCATCATTGAAAAATGCAAACTTTTCTGGTGGATGAAAAAAAAGTAAAATTGAATTTCAAATTACTTATTGACTTTTTGTTTCAATAACGTTAATCAACCAATCTTAACATATTTTAAAAATATATAAAATAATCACACATTGAAAAACACTTGAAAGGATAGATTTCTCAAAATTTTAAAGGTTTCTGGATATGTTTAGGTTCCTATATTAAAACTCTTGTGCCTTTTTTTTTAAAACAAAATTGCAAGAATGGTCTCTGTGGTTAGGTGGAAATTGCCACTATGGGCCAAAAAGGTTTGGGCTAGCATTGATGGTCCATAGGTTTGCATTTTGTTGCGACTTTGGTCCAAAACCTTAACTGCCGTCACTTTTCCCCGTTACCATCCATTTGACTTGTCAAATGGAGGGTATTTTCGTCATTCCCTATTTTACTCCCTATATTTAATTAATAAATTCCTTTTACGTATCTATACCGCCATACGGATAAAAGCGTCGATCATACTCACATTTATAGTCTTAATTACATAGATAGTCGTTTCCACTTCGATTTTCATTAACTGAGGATCAAGAACCCTAAACCCATTTCCAGCTTGTGCGCTTCGATCAAGTGAGTTGATAAAGTTAATGCAAGTTCCAATGTGGAATGTGAGGTTGTATGAGAAAGCATTCAACGCAAGGGTGGTTTATGGTACGCAATTTTTATTTTGCTCACTAAGTTGCCTTTTTATGTGAAATCCTCTCATCTGAAACTTCTTTTTTGTTCTTGTTTTGAAGATGGATACCCTACTCTGTTTACCATCAAGCTACATCATGGTTGGAGAGTTCACAAAGTTTCCAGATGTGAACTACATTGATGGAACTGTGACATATGTTGACATGGTCGATATAGAAGAGTTTTCTGTTCATGAAATGGATGCCATCATGAAAGGGTTAGGATACTCGGTTCCCCCAGTTATCTATTATCATTTTCGGTTGCCCAAAGGAGACATGCATTTTGGACTACGTGCCCTAGGAAACGATGATGATGTTCGTAATCTTGCCCAATATGTGAAGGAGCATAAAGTCATAAGGATGTACACTGAACACGGTTTTACAAAATTGCTTACTTACTTTATGGCTCCTAAACCTGTTAAAAAGGTCACTATTGAGCAATTAGATGAAATTGAGGAACATGAAACCACCACAACTAATAACCAAGCTAGTGATAGGAAAAGGAGTTGGACCAAGGACAAATCTTTGTCATTATCCCCTGTTTTACATAATGAAGGTGCTTTGTCAATATCCCCTGTTTTACATAATAAAGGTGCTTTCTCATTATCCCCTGAGTATAATAGGAAAAGGAGTTGGACCAAGGACAAATCTTTGTCATCATGCAATAAGAAATTGGTCATGGGTGATGTTAGTGAAGCTAATGTAGATGGGGATAAGGATCATGCACCTAATGATTTTGATGAGGCAGCTAATGAATTTGATCTTGGATTGAACCAACAAATTTTAGAATCTAATTCTGAATTTGATAATGGATTCAATGAAGAGAAGGAAGGGGATGAAGGGGAAGAGGTAGTTAATGAAGTTAGTGCTAATGTAGATATGAAGAATTATGAGAAGGATGCTAGAGTTGAAGATGATGTAGATATGGGGGGTTATCAGATGGATGCTGGAGTTGAAGATGAAGTAGATATGGGGGGTTATCAGATGGATACTGGAGTTGAAGATGAAGTTACTCATAATGTAGCTGAGGATGAAAGAAGTGATAGGGAGGATGATAATGGTGAAAGAAGTGATGGGGAGGATGATAGTGATGAAAGAAGTGATGGGGAGGAGGATAGTGATGACAGTGACTTTTGGGTAGATGAGGATAACATAATTCCTGAAGTAGAGGTAGATATGAAGGATCTTTACATGAGTGTTGATCTGGAAGCTGAATTTATGGAAAAGAGAGTAACAAATCCCATGCATAATGATAGTGGTGAAGACCCTAAAGACCCTGAAGATTTGGATGTAATTGATAATGACCGATGGGATTCAATGGATGAGGGTTCTGATATGGAAAGGAAAAGGAGAGTTTTATTAAAAGAATTAGGGAAGGAGACAAGGTGCTCTCAAGGGGAGATACATAAAGTTACTTTTAGGATAGGACAAAAATATAAAAGTAAAAAGGAGTTAAAGGAAAAAATACAATTGCATGCATTGGAAACCAGGAGGAATATATTCTTCAAGAAAAACAACAAAACAAGGTTAAGAGCTTTATGCAAAGGGATTGTAGCCTTTAATGAGGGTGATGTTGGTGAACCTACCCCTTGTCCTTGGGTGATACAAGGTTCTAGATCAAATAAAGATGGTAGTTGGATGATTAAAACATATAACCACGAACACAGATGCTTGCATACAAGAAAAGTGAGATCTGCAACTGCAAAGTTCATTGGGAAGCGAATAATGGATCAGGTTGAATTAAACCCAACAATCCCTGTGAAAGCTTTAAAAGAGCAACTGCAAAAGGAATATCAAGTGGGTTTCTCTATACATCAGATTTTCAGGGCTAAATCTAATGCAAAAAAACAAGTGCAAGGGGATTACAAAAAACAGTATGAGGTTCTCAGAGATTATATCTTAGAGCTACAGTCTACCAATCCAGATACAACTGTGAAGTTAGAATTTGAGTCTGAACCCAACTCCAATGCCACCTCAAGAAGATTTAAAAGAATTTATGTGTGTATGGGTGGAATGAAGAAAGGGTTTAGAGCTTGCCTGAGGGATTTTCTTGGTTTTGATGGGGCATTTATGAAGGGCCCTTTCCCAGGACAGATATTGACTGCAGTTGGGGTAGACTCAAACAATGAAATATACCCCCTGGCTTATGCCATTGTTGAGTCTGAGAATACTCAAAGCTGGAAATGGTTTTGATGGGGCATTTATGAAGGGCCCTTTCCCAGGACAGATATTGACTGCAGTTGGGGTAGACTCAAACAATGGAATATACCCCCTGGCTTACTTACTATTTACTTTGTTTTTGACAACATTTCAGGGAGAGCAATATCAGATATGCTTTTAAATAATCTTTGTGAAGTTTTCAACAACAAATTGGTTGAAGGAAGGGATAAGCCACTAATAACTTGCTTGGAGTACATCAGGGAATACATGATGAAAAGAATCTGTAATGTCATCAAGGTGCAAAATAAGTGTGTAGGGCCTCTAACTCCTTTTGCAACAAAGATTATGGACAAAAATGTCTATTTGGCATCTCAGTACACAACTAGGTGGAATGGTTCAGACAAATACCAAGTGAAAGGGCCATGGCAGGATCAACAAGTTGTTGACATGGCAGCAAGGGTATGCAGCTGCAGGAAGTGGGAATTAACTGGCCTCCCTTGTAAACATGTCATAGCTTTCCTAAATGATAAAGCAGATAATGGTGAAAAGATTGGAGAGTTACACACTTATGTCCACAGGGTGCATTGGCTAGAAACTTGGAAAGCAGCTTATGTTTATAAGGTAGAGCCTATTAAAGGGAGAGCAATGTGGCCTATAAGTGATTGCCCAATTAAAATCACCCCTCCTCTGCACCATAATCAGCCCGGGAGACCCAAGAACAAGAGAAGGCAATCTGCAGGGGAGAGAAGCCAGAAGAAGGGAGAGAATGGTAATGGTGCTAGTGGGAGTCAAACTAATGGGGCTAGTGGGAGTCAAACTCATGCTGCAAGTGGGAGTGGGAAGCTAACAAGGAAGTTTATTAGTGTGACTTGCAGCAAGTGTAAAAATAAAGGGCACAATGCTAGAACTTGCAAGGGCCAAGTAGGAAATTGAAGGGGTTTGAAGCTAGTTTGATGTCTTTTGGGTTTCACATGTTAACTGCTTATGTTTATTGTATGTTATGTACTTGATGTCTCTTGGTGTGGAAGATACATTGATGTTCTTTTTGGTACTTGATAGTACGTTACTAAAAACTGTATGTCTTTTGATTTATGGGAAAAACATATCAGAAATTTAATGGTATGGTTTATGGTATGTTTAATTTGATGTTAATTGCATACTTTACAATGTTTAAATCATACAATTGATGTTCTTTTTGGTACTTGATAGTATGTTACTAAAAATTATATGTCTTTTGATTTATGGGAAAAACATATCAGAAATTTAATGGTATGGTTTATGGAATGTTTAATTTGAAGTTAATTGCATACTTTACAATGTTTAAATCATACAAGTGGATGTTATGGTTTATGGTATGTTTAATTTGTTGTTAATTGCATATTTTACAATGTTTAAATTTGTTGTTAATTGCATACATAAATGGAATGGTCAACATATAGATACCAAATATAATTTCCATTGACATTTTGTTGCAAAACATGTCTTACATGGATTACATTGCTTACATCTTGAACAAAATACTACTTTCATACAACTTACCAAAATATTACACTGCTTACTGCTCACAGCTTACATCTTCAACAAAAAACTACATACCCAACCTATTAAATTCTCAAGCTACTTGTAAAATAGAACATACACAAAGAAAATCCAACTGCATAACAGGTAAATTTTGAGTCTTGTGGTCTGAGCCTTCACTTTGTTTATTGTCCTCAGCAATCCAGGTATGATGGCTTTTGAACGTTCACACATTGGACCATCATACCACCCAATAAAGCGACACTTCGATCCCTTCAAAAAAAAAAGACAACACATGTTCTTAACATGTAATATGATAACAATGATGCAAATACAAAATCCATTTGCTTACCTCAGTCGGGTATCCCCAGAAACGGCGACCTGGGTTTTTGTCGGTCCACGAAGTGCGAACAATAGCCATTTTACCACAGAAACACAACACCATTGTTAATTTCTTAAGAGGGAAATTGTGAATAGTGATGTGTTAGGGCTTGTGAAGAAGACGGGAACGAGGGGATTAAAGCTTGAGGACAGCAGTATCATCGATCGATCTTATAGGAAGAGGAAGTTATTAATTAAATATAGGGAGTAAAATAGGGAATGGAATGACAAAAATACCCTCCATTTGACAAGTCAAATGGATGGTAACGGGGGAAAAGTGACGATAGTTAAGGTTTTGGACCAAAGTGGCAACAAAATCCAAACCTATGGTCCATCAATGCTAGCCGAAACCTTTTTGGCCCAAAGTGGCAATTTCCACCTAACCACAGGGACCATTCTTGCAATTTTGTCTTTTTTTTTAAAAAAAATATTGTACAAATCATCATCTTATATGAATGAACAAACTATATTGTATCAAGTCCTTATATCAAGAGCTTCTCGATCACATCCTGAAAGTCAAAATGACAAGATCTTATAATTAAAAATCAGATTAAGGTGCAATAAGTGATTAATTAGATAAAGGATTATGAGAAAATAATAAACCTTGAGTTGCTGGATTTGGGATCTTAGTTGACTTCCTTTAGGTCAATTAGGTCAAAAGTTCCCAAATTCATGTATCTCTTAATTTCATCGTCAAAACGAAGATATCTATGTGATTAAAGTAACTAATTAGGTCACAATATTTGAGCGCCGATTAATTTAAGTGACAAACGGAAATACATGCGGATGATTAAGGAGACATAGTACAATTTCATAAGGAGAATTGGGATCATACCTTCAATGGGACCTTTTTTGAGTTGTTTGGAGTTAGCAGCTTGTTGAACAAGATCCAATATTGTAATCGTAAGCTGAACATCAGCCAATGGGTAAGATTTATGGGTCACTGCTTCTCCTGTCTGCAAACCAAAAAAAAAAATCATAGAAATTCGAAGTGTATTGATTAATGTAAGCTTGGTGTTGTATGTGAAGCGTGAAATATGATTTCAAATCAAATTTTGGGAGAGAACTAAAACTGAGAAGGTTAGCATATTTTCGGTGGACTCGTGATGAGGGTTTGAAGGGGGAGGGTTTAACAGGATCAACTATTATTTAAAAAATATGTACTACCAAAATTACATCAACTCTTCTTGTCGTTTGGAGTAATATGTGTTGGTGATTTTGATCATCAATGTTATTTAAGTGTAATGAGATTACTTTGTGTTGACCAAAAATGATCTTGATAAATATTAAACAAGTAAGGAAGGTGTGGAGTACACACTTGTTTAAGTTTGATCAAGTTTCAAAGTACACTGTTATTTAGGGGCGAAGCCCCTGAACGAAAGGGGGTCCGGGGGCAGCGCCCCTGGGAGCGGGGTCCAAGGGGCGGCATGGTTTTATGACAGTTTTCAGACAAAGATATTAAAGTTGGTTTTGGTCTCATTTTCTAGTACATACGAAAATATCATCTAACATTCTCGGTTCTTGTCTCTCTGAGTCTTATCCAATTGAAGATTTGGGAGTACTACCAAATACTTCGATTTGAAAGTGATAATCACAATTCTCAGAATTTTCAAGCCTTTCTACACCCAAATTTCTAACAATATGCAAGATTCATCCCTCACTATCATAAATAATTATTTCACTATTATTATTTGACAAAATTGTAAAATTGGTTATTGTGGTTTGCAAAAAACTTTGATAAGGTACAAAAAAATTTCAACTTGCATCAAATGTCCAAAATCAAAAACTTTCTGTGATTTTGGTCCAAAAACTTAAAAAGATGATTATGCCATTTTATTATTATTATTATTATTATTATTATTATTATTATTATTATTATGCGTTTTTTATAATTATTCTAATATTATTTTACTTTAAAAATAAAAACAAAAGAAAAAAATTATCTCCCAACTCAACCCACCCCCCCCTCTCTCTCTCTCTCTCTCTCTCTCTCTCTCTCTCTCTCTTTCTCTCATTCTTCTAACCTACCTTCGGTGATAGCATAGCTAAGAAAAAACAAAGAAACACAAGCATACTTGTTGGGTTTACTCTATGATTGAACAATAGTAGAAATTTCATTGTCTGATTTTAAAGGAGATAGATTTGAAAGCATGTTCGGCGTCACCCCCCTCTCACAAATCCCTCTTTAACAACCGCTAATCCCCATCTGTACTTCAACGTTTTGCTCTCAACTCCCTATCTGATGTATTATATAGTTCTCCATTATCTTACTGAAAACTGATTTGCAGGTCTGATTTGTAGGTTTCATTATCTCCGCGATTATAACCTTGTGAAAATCACCTATTCGATTTGAGTTGTGCTCGATTTAGGCATGAGGGTGTTCAAAGATACAGAAAGCAACGTGAACAGGGGAACCCTCATCGACCCTAATAAGAGTTGTCCCTGATGCACACCATTGGAGCTGGAATCATCGATTTGATCTTAGTCGATCCCAGAGAAGAAACCCGAGGGGAAGAAGCGTGAGGTGAACAACTTGAAAATTCTCCATGAAGTGAAGTATTTTCGATGTTGTATCTATGATTTGAGGAAGATACAACAAAATGGGTTGAAGATGAAGGGTGGGGAAGAATATCTAATAAAAAAGGTCGTGTGTATGTGTGTGAGAGAGAGAGAGAATTGGGTGGGGTGGGGATAATTTTTTCTTTTTTTCTTTATTATTTAATTAAAACAATATTATAATAATTATAAAAATAAAAAAAAGAAAATAAAAGGGGATGATCGTATTTTCAAGTTTTTTTTGATCAAAATCATGGAAATATTTTGATTTTGGATCTTTATTGCAAGTTGGAAACTTTTTAGATCTTATCCAAAGTTTTTTGAATACCACATGGATAAGTGTTGCAGTTTTGTTTTATTATTTTTTAAGATTTTCTAATATATATCCTAAGGCACATATAAAAAACATTAATTAAAGTATTAATTATAAGTAATATTATCATAATTCAATAGGATAAATATTAATTATAAATGATATTCTTTAGAATTAATTTCTTTTACATTTAATATGATAATATTACACATAACTAATCTTTATCACATATAATTACGGTAATATTTCTTATAATTAATACTTC